CACCTTCCCCATAAACATGATGGGTTCTCACACATCCCTGCAGAATTTTGCTGCTTGACACCCAACTTGGGTAGGTGATCAAACCTGCGAATTCAAATGGTTCATAAGGATTCCCATCCTGGATCATAATCTCCATCAAGACTCTCCAGTAGAACCCCGCTATCACGCGAAGTTGGGGTCAACCGGTCGAAATCGGGCGCCGGACCCATGCAAATCTCACAGCACCTGGGATAAAGGCCAAAAAGAGATCAGTCTGTCGCTTGGGAAAAAAACGGCCGTAGAACTCAGAAAAGCCGATGCTTTTGCAACAAAAAACAACCAGAAATTCGGTGAACCTCCAGTGGTCCAAATTGGCAAAATTCAATGGTCCATGGGTTCCCGGACGATCGGCCACGTGCTTGGCAACTTTGGCCTCGTTAATGGGTGGAATCTTCGAAATATGATCTACAGTAGGAATATGTTCTCTACATTTTGCAGTGTTTGATTGCCAGTTACTATTTGTTGATGGTACAACAATACTGTTGTGGTTTATGGAACTTTTATGGTTGGCAAATGGCACAACATACTGTTCGAAATGAGATTACCATGGATTGTCCTAGTCAGTCTTGTTTTTGCCTATAGAAACCAAGGGGTTACCCTCTGGTAATTTAACATAGCTATTGAACATGGCCCATTTATAGTGAATTTTCCCATTAAACATGGTGATTTTCCATAGTTTTTTGTATGTTTACCAGGGGTTAAAACATATGGCATATATGCACCTTCTTTACGTTCTTGGTTGGTCTGCACATCACCTTTTGTGGGTGTTTTTATTCCCCATGACAAGTTGAGGAAACAAAAGAACTCCAATATGTTACGCTTTTTTCGATGTTTCACCTATCATTGGAACACCCCATTGTTTTTGGATGATCCCACATATTTTCCATATTGTCCTTAGTGAAACCCTATTGTTTTGTTGGCGACATCCCCATTGTCCCTGGGCAAGCATATTGATACTGGTATTTCCCTACCTTTTATTGCTTAAACCGGCACGTTTATTGATTCTTCCGTTTCTGCTGTTAAAATTCATGTTTTTAGTCTATCAAATCCTCAAAACTTGTTTGTTGAAACCATTTGTGGTTGGTAAGACCCCATTTCTATTTGTCAAATTCGATCCATGCTGGTTTAATATCAAACTTGTACGTAGTTACGCTATGAGGGTTCCACCTGGTGTTGAGTTCAGCAGAAAACCATAGATCCCAGCTGATTAAATCACACCGGGGCCAGAAAGAATGGATTTGTCACCAACAAGACTCCGATCCTTAGCTATGAGCCCCCAAATCCGTTCATGAATCAACTAACAATCATATTTTCCAGTCAAAAAAGACAAGTATACAGTATGAATACAGTATCATCGCGTTACAATCCGAGATATCCCCAAAGGTTCACCCATCAAAAACCATTGAGAAAAAACAATAAACACTCCATGAAACAGCATTCAACTTCATCCAACAGCATTAAACTCCATCTAAAATCCCTTAGACCCCACATCAAAATCCCCATGAAACACCGCTGGACCTTCCCTCGGCGACACTAAAAATTCCAAGCGCGCCTGTTTCAGCACTTCGGACGCTTCGGCCTCCACGGTAGAAGAGGCCTGTCGCTGTCGAATCATTTTATGGTTTGATATGGTGTCTAATGGTTTCCAAACGTCATATATCTAGATATATCTAGATATATGGTTTTGCATGATGTTTGATGGTGTTTCTTTTTTTGCGGCATTCTTACATTGTTGGATTCTATATGGTGTTTAGTAGCGTTTAATGCTGCTTAATGTGTTTTGTCTTCTTTAGATGGTGTTCAACAAGAAAAAACCATGGGGGTTTCGGATGAGAAGATGGGGGTTTGATCCAACCAAAAGAAAGTGAACCGGCTTTCTCAAAAAGTGAGATTTCATGAAGCATCAGCAAAAGCTCGCCAAATGTGGATCAATGGGAATTTCCGGATCCGATTTATTGGAGCTAAGTCCAACTACCATATATAAGGCCTAAGGATCCTGAAATTCCCAGTGGGTGTAGTTCATGAAAATCTGGTGCTGTAACACCATGGGGGTCCCAACATTGGATATCCAGCTGAGATGTCAAGCGCCAGTTGTTCCCAATATTGGTTGGTGGTATACCTACCCCTCTGAAAAATATGAAACTCAGTTTGGATTATTATTCCCAAAATATAGAAAAATAAAATTCACGTTCCAAACCAACAACCAGATTGGATTGTTTCAGATATGGGAGGAATGGGAAGATCAGCTGAAATCGCTGGTTTGGTCTTTAATGACCCCAGTGCCAGTGGTTCCAGAAATTTCATCATCTCGAGTCACTCATTCCCGGCAGGCTTCATCTCCCAGATTGGCTACAGTACTTCATATGGTATAGGTCACCATTTTCAACCTCCCCAACATAATATGGATGCTTTACTGGTATAATGTGGTAAATAATAAACCAGCCCCACGTCATCACAATTTGGATGTGTGATATAAACCATCCCCAGTTTCCCGCATTACCCACTTTAGACATATATGTATATGAATGTATGTATATATATACATATACATACTTTACTCGGTGTATATATATATATGTATATATGCATCTACATGTAATTATATATATATATAAAATATAATAAACCATTGTCAGCTCATTGTCACCCCAACATGGGTGGTTTACTAAAACTGACAACATTTCTGGCCTCCTCTGTGGCTGCCGCGGGGTAGTGCGCGAGAAATGCCTCGGTGATTTGTGGTTGATGCCGATGAGCAAAAAGTGGAGATGTAACAACAACAATACCTGCGACATACGATGGACAATCATGGGAACAATGGAGATAAAATGGAAAACAATGGGAATATCATGGGAATATTGAAAATAGTTTACCCCTAAACCCAATGGTTAATCATTGTTTCCCCTATTATATGGCTATAATTGGAGGGAGCCACCCCATTTCCAGACACACCCATATGTGACCGAATAGGTTTGGCAACGATGATGATGATGATGATGATGGTGATGATGATGATTGATGATTGATGATTGATGATGATGATGATGATGATGATGATCTGAGATAGTTTTTGTTCTTTTGGACTCTGACTTGCATGAAGAACATCTCCGGGCACAAACCAAACCCAGGGAGGGGACACAGCCAGTGCCTATCTCAACATGGGATGGCACCCCTCCAAATTTTGCTGGGCATCCCATTCAGAAACATATACATTTCCGACCTTTTTGGTTGTTCATTTTCCAATAATTCCCGTCTGATTATCTCTTCAAAAAAGTGATTGGCAATCACGTTTGCTAATATTAAACAACACCCCCGTAGCAAATTGGAGTTTATATGATCGTATTAAGCTATTTTATTCCCTGGGAACGCAACCAGCCTTACCCGCAATGCACACTTTCACATCGGGTCTAGGAACGTCCAACCACGCGCCATCCCGGCGACTGATCAAAAACAACTGGCCCAATTCCGAGCACGGGTCAAAACTCCTCTGTGAGGACATGGATTCCTTTGTCGCCTTAGTCATGGTGAAAGTTTCATTGCGAGAGGATGTTTGTTTCGGAGTCTTTGGAGGAGAACACCCTTCCGGATTTTTCCATTCCAGTAACATTTAGAAATCATAGGAATTTGTGAGGTGAAGTTTCTGCAGAGTAAGTAGTGTAATTTTTTCGTTCCCGAGTCATCGGTTCATAGGTCGGAGGTAGCCTAGCGGCTCGTGCTCGGCAGGCTGGTTGTGAGCAGAAAGCAGAGATAAGTCTAAAATACTTCCAAGCAGCTGCCAGGATTCCTGTCAGAAACAACTCAAAAATCCCGATGAAGCAACTCAGAGTAGGTGCAATCTTTTGGGGACTTGAATTTTTCATAAATCGAAAACTTGATTTGTTATGGTTTCTTCTTTTTTGCCGCTCAATTCTGACAGCTTCGAAGCATTTCAGGTAGATGTTCACATTTGTGAAGCATCGGCGCTCGCGGTTAGCCATCGGCAGATGTCCACATGCCATGTAGGCTCAAAACACAGTATATGGATGAATATGGTTTATGGTCATCTACCCTCTGGTAAACTAACATAACTGAGGAAAATTACATTGTTTAATAGGTAAATCAATTATAAATGGGCCATTTTCAATAGCAAACTCGTAGTTTACCAGAGGGTATCCCATAGTGAGACTCCTAATGGCATATAATGGATATGTTTTTTCTCCATGAATGGATTTTTCTGCCCATCCCCAAATCATGTCATGGATGACAATGACGACTTGTAGAAAGAATCGTGGCGAGTGGGGATCCATATTGAGAAACCTCCATATGGTATGGGAACAGACGGTATCCAACTAACCTCACCATCTCCAAAATCTCAGAACTCCAACACTGCTCAAAAATACCGTTTTTTTTTGCAATCGAAAAAAGCAAGCACAACAAATCATAGGCGTTGACGTTAATCATACAATTACCGTATGATAACTATCATTAAGATGGTAACTATCACATGATCACTATGATTAAGATCATAACCTCATCAAATGAGCATTGTCAAATATGACGGCGACATCTGCACGTTGCTTTTGCAGGAAGAAACTGCCATGGAGATCTATCCAGGCTTGATATGTTGCCGTCGAGAGAGGATGTGACTGGAAAGAGATTGACCCTTTGCCTTAGAAACTCATACCACAGAATCGTTTCAAAAGCCATCGAGTTTGGGTTCTACCCTCTGGTCATTTCACAGAGCGGAACATCAGTTTTTTTTTTTTTCGTAGGTACAAAATCTATAAATGGACCATCTATACCCTAGCTTTGCTAAATTACCAGAGGCGATCCATGACAACTTAACTACCAGAATCATAAAAAAAAATCCTCATGATATTCCTAAACCACAACAATCATGTATCCTCTGGTAATTTGTTACATAGCTATTGAAAATGACCATTTATAGTGGATTTTCCCATTGAAAATGGTGATTTTCTATAGCCATGTTAGTTTACCAGAGGGTATATTTCATGGAAAAACGGACCGCCGCTACGAATTGGGACTCCCACCTTGGATGAGGGCGACCAGGTGACCGGATGGGGAATTCACCATCCTCCATGAAACCAGTGAGGAAAAATATCTGGTTTTTGAGCTGAAGCGACATATTCCCACATTGAATAAAATCCAACAATAAAATCCATTGAAACAAGTTGGTAGATCCACACACCATTCCCATCATCATTATGGGATTGATCAGTTCCAAGATGTTAAAATTGGAGGGAGTTTTTGTGTCGAACGGATCCGTTACATATCTACAGTCATGGTGGATTTTCGCTTGTCACCCTCGATTTAAGTGACATCTAAATCCAGAATATCTATGAATGTCTGAGGCGAGCCAAGCAGTATTTTAGCAAGGCGGTGCCTTTTGCAGGGCCATAAAGGTCTAATAAATCTGGCACACTTCTAGTCTTTCTTCCGGCCAAATCATGTTTCATAATCCTCAACGAAAAACCTTGGATCACCAAAAAAAGTCATCTCGTTGGTGGTATACCTACCCTGGAAAGTTCGTCAGTTGGGCTTATTATCCCCAATGGAAAGTCATAAAATTCCATGGTTCCGAACCACCAATCAGTTATAGTTAGAAACTCCATAAAAACCATATAAAACCTCTATAGTTGATGGTAAATATCCCATAGATTTATATATGTTCCAAAGCACCAACCAGTCCTTCACCATGGCTACCATTTAAAGGGACTTCCCCTAAGTGTGAGGTCAACTAAGCCGTGGCCACTGCCTTGGGAGGAATCTTCACTCAGAACGCCTGAAAGCCGAACGCCGCCGATTTTATGAATGGTGGGTTATTTTGGGTGAAATTTCGATTTGATGAATTTTTATGACATCTATTTATAACTTTCATAGTACATAGTCTAGTAGTAAAGTATTCCGATCCTTGGGTACAGGCTACTCAGGCTACCCAGGCTACCCTGTCACTTGAGTTCATCTGCATCCAAACCTTCATCTGCCATGCTTCGCACTGCTAGCCTTTAGATATCCTGCGCGTCTGGCCTTGAGCAGGATGTTCTTATTCCTTAAACAATCTAAGCAATCTCAACAATCTAAACTGGTTGGTAGTTGAGCCACCACCCCCCTCAAAAATCTCAGTCATTCGGATCATCATGCCTTGAAAATGATATCCAACCTGCTTGAAAATGCTTGAAGCCACCAACCATCAACCAGCAAATCATGGCAAAACCTTGACCTGTTGCATCGCCTTGAACCACTGCTTCATTGTTGATAAACACATCTATTTTGGCTGGTTCGATGCCCATCTTTGTTGGTGAAAGCCAACGTTTTCTGTTTAGTGGTTTCGACTCCTGTGCAAATGACTAGTTATTTCTGATCATCTGGATGAAGAATAACAGCATTGAAACCAGCAACTAGTCAATTTTTGCACTCCAAAATAGTACAATTTTCCAGTTTCCCTCCTTTCATGGTCAATCTTTGCTAGTCCACCAAAAAAAGTTGCCTTTTCTGGTCGTGGTTCTTTTGCATGTATAGCAAAAAACTAAAGGATCAAATTACCTATCCAAGGTTGGAGATGGCCATCATGTACGTGCAATAGCTTAGAGCGCCCCCTGCTTATCCCGTTACATCTCATTATATCCCCATGAAACACCACCATTTTTGCTGGTTAAATTCTCATTTGTCATGATTAATGCCCCATAACCATAATCATCCAAGACTTTGGAAACAAACCATCAATATCCCATGAAATGTCAGGTTAAATGGTTAAACCTGGGTTCAATCCCTACTCATGGCCGCATGGCCTGTCACCCACTTGTGGTCCAACATCGATTCATGGTTTTACGCCTATCATAAACCACTGTGGGTAAAACAATGTCAGCTGCACCATCCCCCAGTCATCACCATCTTTATAGGTGGTATAAATAAAGCATTCCCATTCATGGGTGGTAAAAATCACATTGTTTTACCCACATTAACTCACATGTTCGTCGCTTAAATTTTCTATGTCGGTCTTCCCCCATCAAGGACCAAGGCACTGCTGGTTCCCAGAGCGCTGCTCGCGGCACGCCCGTGCCCTTGCTTTTTGTGCCTTGTGCACAGCCAAAGAATGGGGGATTTGCTGGGACTTCACCAGGAATATGGGGAAATGTAGGGATTTATACAAACCAGCCCATATATTTCCATTCACTCACCCTTCTTTCCAACCATTGTGTTGAGGCTGATATGATTTGGTCAGAGATTCTCTGAGGATTTCAATCCCAAGTGGGAACATCGACATCAACTTTCAAGAAACGTGTCATCTTGAAAAGCTTTCTAGATCATCCAATAGTTTCATTCAACCCCATGAAATACCCCATGAAATTCCACATCAATTCCACACATTTTTCCACCCCATTTCGTCAGCTCCGCGGTACGACTTCATGGACTTGATGATGAGTTTCTCCAAACGATCGAAGCGTTCCTTCTCGACGTCACTGGGTTCCACCTGGCCACGGAACGCCGCAAAAACCATGGGAAATGGAGGGTTCACATGGTTTGACCATCAACAAATCGGGGTTTAATGGGATATGATGGGATGTAATTGGGATGTAATTGGTATATACAACCAACTGAAAATGCTTTATAAAGCTAGAGTCATTTATGTTTTATGCGCCTAGAGTCATTTAATTTGGGTTTTAAGC